TTCTTTATCTGCCTGTGTATAAATGTATCCATTATTTTAGATGTTTCTAAATAGTAACTTTTCCTATCAGTCCACCAAAGGAACTGACGAGGCACCGAAATGGCGCATACCATCGTACAAACTCTTGGATATTTATACATGAAATGGGCAGTTCTGCCAAGAATGAAAATAATCGTTAATATATAGCGGGCGGGTCACAATATTAAACGCGTGAGTTTGCCACCCCTTAGGTTAAAGCATAGGGGACCTTGCATCGTGCCAATATATGGAAATGGAATCTCAACTTGGATGGTGCCAGTGACTTTGAGTGGAATCGTCCACTGAAAAGGAACAATTGCAATTTCATGGCAGTTAAGGCACATTTTTTTCTTCAGATTTTGCTTTAGCTACCTTTAGATTTAGCTAATGAGATACGGTTGCCGACAGTTTCTCACTGTTTCGCCCAGTTTCCCACTTTTGCCCAATCTCGGCCCCTGCTTCGCTAAAAACGGTATATATTTTATTGTAGAGTTTTGACGCGATTTATGCCACAATGTCGTTTAATTCTTGTCTCTCCATCCTAGAACTGTAGCATGACGAATGAGCGGAACCAAACTGAGGACTTTCTGGACAATGACTGTGATGGGAGGGTGGACGAAGAGGTGCCCAATAACAAAGGTAGATAATTGACAGAAGCTTGTGAATAAAATGATAAATTGAAGCAGATGTGTCTTGATAACAAAGTAATTTGTTCGTACATTTCTTTACGTAGAGTAAATGTGTTTGTAGACTTTATGCAGGTCAATAACAGTTAAATAAAAATAGATTCGTGACGTCAATAAAAATGTATGGCGCTTAATATTTCATGATGGTAGATATTCGAATACATATAGGCTTACCCTTGATGAGTACAAAATATATGAGTACACCTGATGAGTACAACACATAGTGTACATCTAGTGTGTTCACTTCTTTATTTTTCAGATGACGATGGAGATGGTAGAATAGACGAGGATATTCGACAGCCCCCCACAGGTGAATGATGTAATCGAAATGACACGTGACACCCTGGGCCATTTTTCCGACGAAGCTATCCAACCTGTTTACTTATTTTTAGAATCGGAAATTCGAAAAAGCTTTATTTTTGTAAATGTGATTGCTTACTTCGGGTTATAACAGTATTACTCAGGGCGTCATTTCAAAGCGGGGGGGGGGGGGGGGGGGGGCAAAAAAACAAAACTTGGTGGGCTTGTTAAGTTGTTTATTACTGGAGGCGCAGAGGGGGGGCAAAAAAACAAAACTTGGTCGGCTTGTTAAGTTGTTTATTACTGGAGGCGCCGTAGTACAAAGCAATTTAAATAAAACCTGCAATTTCGGTTGGGGGGGGGGCGGTGAATGTCCCTCCCTGCCCTTTCCACTTGACGTCCCTGGTATTACTAGAGTAAACAACACTTTAAGACTTCAGAATTGCTCATAACTCAGTTATAAAAGTATAAAAATGTATGACCATTTTATGATTTTACTACCATTTTATGATTTTACTACCATTTTATGATTTTACTACCATTTTATGATTTTACTACCATTTTATGATTTTACTACCATTTTCGGCGACATGTCATGGGTCAATAACCAGCCATTTTGTTTTGTTTGTTTGTGTCTTTGCGTGATGCCAATGATGTCAGTTGGGTGGCAAGCGGGCTCTCAGGTCAGCACACGACGTTTGTGTGCTGTAAGAAAAGAAAAGGTCACGTGATTTGTGTTGAGGTCATCCAATTCACAAAGTAAAGGTCAAGTGATTTGTCTTGAGTTCATTCAATTCACAAAGTAAAGGTCAAGTGATTTGTATTGAGTTGATTCAATTCACAAAGTAAAGGTCAAGTGATTTGTCTTGAGGTCATTCAATTCACAAAGTAAAGCTCAAGTGATTTGTCTTGAGTTCATTCAATTCACAAAGTAAAGCTCAAGGGATTTGTCTTGAGGTCATTCAATTCACAAAGTAAAGGTCAAGTGATTTGTCTTGAGTTCATTCAATTCACAAAGTAAAGGTCAAGTGATTTGTCTTGAGGTCATCCAATTCACAAAGTAAAACTCAATTGATTTGTCTTGAGGTCATTCAATTCGCAAAGTAAAGCTCAAGTGATTTGTCTTGAGGTCATTCAATTCACAAAGTAAAGCTCAAGTGATTTGTATTGAGTTCATTCAATTCACAAAGTAAAGGTCAAGTGATTTGTCTTGAGGTCATTCAATTCACAAAGTAAAGGTCAAGTGATTTGTCTTGAGTTCATTCAATTCATAGAAATGGTGTTAAACAAGTCAATTATTATTCCTACAAATGTCAAACTGGCACTCCACGCCAGAGTAGTTGGATGTTGAATGGAAGGCTTGTATTGGTGGGGGTGGTGGGCCGTCAGAGTAGTTGGATGTTGAATGGAAGGCTTGTATTGGTGGGGGTGGTGGGCTGCCAGAGTAGTTGGATGTTGAATGGAAGGCTTGTATTGGTGGGGGTGGAGGGCTGCCGGAGTAGTTGGATGTTGAATGGAAGGCATGTATTGGTGGGGGTGGAGGGACGCCAGAGTAGTTGGATGTTGAATGGAAGGCTTGTATTGGTGGGGTTGGAGGGCCGCCAGAGTAGTTGGATGTTGAATGGAAGGCTTGTATTGGCGGGGGTGGTGGGCCGCCAGAGTAGTTGGATGTTGAATGGAAGGCTGGTATTGGTGGGGGTTGGAAGGGGTGGAGGCTTTTGGTGGTACAGTTGGAAATATGGACTGACCGAAAGTGATTTTCTAATTTTGGCCAAAACCGAAGCCAAAATCAAAGGCTTAAAATGAGTTTCGGGGGAAGCCGAAACAAAAACATTTATATATTTTGAAATTCGTTCATGCATGCATTGTACATACATCGATGGGGGAATGGTCCAATATTTACATTCTTTTTATAAATAATGAAATCATGGTGAATATTAATAAATAAAAATCTAATGAATACTTTGGCTTTTACCATTGTAAATTAAAAGTAATTTAAATTTCGTGAAATTTAAAAAAAAAAGTGTAGTTAGAGAAAATTTGGACCGGAAAATAAACAAAAAGGGGGGGGGGTGCGTGGCAAAATTCATGAAAAATAGACCCTTAAGGGGTGGCTAAATGGCTGTCAGCACAGTGGTCAGTGGTCCAGAATTTGATCTCTACATTCATTGATAATTTGAGCTCTACCTTCATTCACAATTTGACCTCTACCTTCATTCACAATTTGATCTCAACCTTTTATCCAAAATTTGATCTCAACCCTTCACAATTTGATCTCTAACTTCATCCACAATTTGATCTCAATCCTTCATCCACAATTTTATCTCCACCTTCATCCACAATTTGATCTCAATCTTTCATCCACAATTTCTTTTTTGTCAGTTGATGGAGAGTGGGGCGCCTGGGCTGAGTGGTATTGTCATGACGACTGTGCCAAGCGAGTACTCACAAGAAAGAGGTATCCATTATTTCTACTTGGCATTAGATAAGTCTTGTTTCTGTGCTCCAGATAAGCTATGCTCAAACTAGCTACACATAAGCACCAATTTATTTTAATTTTAAAAATACGTAAATAAAAGAAAGAACCTTAAAATCGAATTCAACTTTAAAAAAAAAAAAAAAAAAAAAAAAAAAAAAACTTGGCATTAGATAAGTCTTGTTTCTGTGCTCCAGATAAGCTATGCTCAAACTAGCTACACATAAGAACCAATTTATTTTAATTTTAAAAATACGTAAAAAAAAAAAAAAACCTTAAAATCGAATTCAACTTTAAAAAAAAAAAAAAAGAGAACAACAAAAGCTGTATCACGACAAATATACTAAACATTACGTTATGTCATACAACGTACAACATTACACAGTAAGTGGCATCCCATAAAATACAACATTACACATTTAATGGCGTGCCACAAAATACAACATTACACATTACAGCCTTTTGGTTTTCAGTTTTTGTTACAACATTACACACGTAATTATGTCCCACAAAATAAAACATTACACACCTAGTTATGTCCAACAAAATAAAACATTACACACCTAGTTATGCCCCATAAAATAAAATATTACACACTTAATTATGTCCCACAAAATAAAACATTACACACTTAATTATGTTCCACAAAATAAAACATTACACACTTAATTATGCCCCACTAAATAAAGCATTTCACACTTAATTATGTCCCACAAAATAAAACATTACACACTTAATTATGTCCCACTAAATAAAACATTACACACTTAATTATGTCCCACTAAATAAAACATTACACACTTAATTATGTCCCACTAAATAAAACATTACACACTTAATTATGTCCCACTGAATAAAACATTACACACTTAATTATGTCCCACTAAATAAAACATTACACACTTAATTATGTACCACAAAATAAAACATTACACACTTAATTATGTCCCACAAAATAAAACATTACACACTTAATTATGACCCACTAAATAAAACATTACACACTTAATTATGTCCCACTAAATAAAACATTACACACTTAATTATGTCCCATTAAATAAAAGATTACACACTTAATTATGTCCCACTAAATAAAACATTACATACTTAATTATGTCCCACTAAATAAAACATTACACACTTAATTATGTCCCACAAAATAAAACATTACACACTTAATTATGTCCCACTAAATAAAACATTACACACTTAATTATGTCCCACTAAATAAAACATTGCACATTTAATTATGTCCCACAAAATAAAACATTACACACTTAATTATGTCCAACAGAATAAAGACTAAACATTCAATGATATACAACAAAATTTAACATTACACATTTAATAATGTCATACAACAAACAAAAGCAATTGTTGCACATGAGACATTGAAGTAATTCTATTTCCAAGCTTAATTTTTTTGGAAGCTCATTAAATCCTTGACACCATTTCTAGACACCTTTTCGTGGCATCACTTCTTGACACCATTTACAGACACCATTTCTTGCCACCATTTCAGGCCATGTGACAACCCAGAGCCAGCTAACGGAGGCCACTACTGCAGGGGCAAATATCAAGAAATGTCCTATACAAAATGCATTACAGCTGCTGTTTGTCCTGGAGGTCTGAAATATGTTCAGCTGTTCTGTCCATTCTGTCTAGTGTCAGTCTCTCAAAGTCCTGGAGGTCTGAAGTATGTTTAGCTGCTCTGTCCAATGTCAGTCACTCAACGTCCAAAGGACAAACAAATCTCAAAAGATTGTCTAAACTTTGGGAATGTAAAGTCATCGTCTCAAGGATTGTTCCAGAGGTGTGTTGTTACAGAAGGATGTTTTCCAGATGGGTGTTGTTACAGAAGGGTGTTGTTCCAGACAGGTGTTGTTCCAGAGGGATGTTGTTCCAGAAGGATTTGGTCCAGAAGGATGTTATTCCAGAAGGATGTTGTTCCAGAGGGATGTTGTTCAAGAGGGATGTTGTTCCAGAAGGATGTTGTTCCAGAAGGATGTTGTTCCAGAAGGATGTTCTTCCAGAAGGATGTTGTTCCAGATGGGTGTTGTTCCAGAAGGATGTTGTTCCAGAACGATCTTCTTCCAGAAGGATGTTGTTCCAGAAAGATGTTGTTCCAGAAGGATGTTGTTACAGAAGGGTGTTGTTACAGAAGGTTGTTGTTACAGAAGGTTGTTGTTACAGAAGGGTGTTGTTACAGAAGGTTGTTGTTACAGAGGGGTGTTGTTACAGAGGGGTGTTGTTACAGAGGGGTTTTGTTACAGAAGGGTGTTGTTACAGAAGGATGTTGTTACAGAAGGATGTTGTTACAGAATGGTGTTGTTAAAGAGGGAAATTGTTACAGAGGGGTGTTGTTACAGAAGGGTTTTGTTACAGAAGGGTGTTGTTCCAAAGGGGTGTTGTTAGAGAAGGGTGTTGTTCCAGAGGGATGTTGTTACAGAAGGGTGTTGTTACAGAGGGGTGTTGTTCCAGAGGGATGTTGTTCCAGAAGGATGTTGTTACAGAAGGATGTTGTTCCAGAAGGATGTTGTTCCAGGGGGGGTGTTGTTCCAGAGGGGTGTTGTTCCAGAAGGGTGTTGTTACATAGGGGTGTTGTTCCAGAAGGGTGTTTTTACAGAGGGGTGTTGTTACAGAAGGGTGTTGTTACAGAGGGGTGTTGTTACAGAGGGGTGTTGTTCCAGAAGGATGTTGTTCCAGAGATGTGTTGTTCCAGAAGGGTGATGTTACAGAGTGGTGTTTTTACAGAAGGATGTTGTTACAGAGGGATGTTGTTACAGAAGGGTGTTGTTACAAAGGGGCTTTGTTACAGAGGGGTGTTGTTCCAGAAGGATGTTGTTCCAGAGGGGTGTTGTTACGGAAGGGTGTTGTTCCAGAGGGGTGTTGTTACAGAAGGGTGTTGTTACAGAGGGATGTTGTTACAGAAGGGGTGTGGTTCTAGAGGGGTGTGGTTACAGAGGGGTGTTTTTCCAGAGGGGTGTTGTTGCAGAGGGGTGTTGTTTCAGAGGGGTGTTGTTTCAGGAGGGTGGTGTTTCAGGGGGATGTTGTTACAGGAGGAGTGTTGTTCTAGAGGGGTGTTGTTACAGAGGGGTGTTATTCCAGAGGGGTGTTGTTGCAGAGGGGTGTTGTTACAGAAGGGTGTTGTTCCAGAGGGGTGTTGTTACAGAAGGGTGTTGTTACAGAAGGGTGTTGTTCCAGAAGGGTGTTGTTCCAGAAGGGTGTTGTTACAGAAGGATGTTGTTACAGAAGGGAGTTGTTACAGAAGGGTGCTGTTCCAGAGGGGTGTTGTTACAGAGGGGTGTTGTTACAGAGGGCTGTTGTTTCACGAGGGGTGTTGTTACAGAGGGGTGTTGTTACAGAGGGCTGTTGTTACAGAGGGGTGTTGTTACAGAAGGAGTGTTGTTACAGAAGGGTGTTGTAACAGAGGGGTGGGCAACCTGCGGCACATTGTCACGTGCCGCCGTAAAACCTTGATTAATGTTTTTGTGCAATGCTCAAATTGTCGATGATTAGCTGTCAAGGTTCTGGCAAATGAACAGTCAATGTAGAAAGTTCACACTGTAATAAGAATGATGGCAGCAAATTGTAAAACTTTGAACTTTTCATTTTCAATCTGATTACGGGAAGAATTTTTCGGTTCTTCTTCTTCTATATATTAAGGGCCCACGATCAATTTATTGATCATTTTGGCTCCCTATGCATGTACAGGGGATTTGCAATGTTTCTGTGCCTGGTGCTGATGAGGAAATTTTAAAATGATTACAAGTGCCACTTTGTGAAGGAATCATGCAAGGTTGAACTCGGACTGAATTTGTGAACCCTATCTTCATTGAGACATTTTAAAAATTATTTCTGTCCGCCAAAATAAAAATAAAAAATAAAAAATGTTTTAAAAAAATGTCCACGCGGTCCTCTGCTCACCCTCTACTAAAGGCTCCCCCTCTATCTTTTTTTCGGGTAGGAGAGGTGCCTTTAACTAAATACACTGGGCAACCCGTCTTAGAGAGCTTAAGGTAACTCTTCTGCTCAAATGAACCATCGTGGACGTCAGCTTGTATGCAAAGCACTCTCTTGACTGCGGCATATTTTTGTTGTCAGTTTCATAGATTAGAGCCAGATCTGTTTCAGAACTTATAGGAAAGTGGAATGAAAATGATTCTTTGAGAGGAGGACTAACTTAAGAGGCGTGGCCAACTTTTTGGGTAGCTAAAGTATGGGGCATAGCTAACTTATGGGGCGTGGCTGACGTATGGGGTGGGTAACTAATGGTCGTGGCTAACACATGGGGGGAGACAAACTTATGGGGGTGGCTAACTTATAGGGTGGCATAGTTATGGGGATGGCTGACTTATGGGGCGTGGATACCTTAAGGGACACATCTCTACACAATGGGCTTGGCTAACTTATGGGCGTGGCTAACTTAAGGGGAGCATGTGTATCAGTAGTTTAAACATGAAACCAAACATGCAAAGATTTAGTTAACACATATCAACTTCACACATGCGCAGAAACATGAACAACAATGATGTCTAACAAATATACAGAACACACAGTGACCAATCAAAACACTTACACTTGTATTTTCTCTCTGGCAGGGTGTAAAAACTATTCATGGGGAGTTATGTGTGACAAGAGCTGCCAGAACTGTGCTGACTACTGTGAAACAGAAACGGGGGTCTGTGGACGTTGCAAGAAGGGATATAAACACCCCACCACAACATGTCACACAGGTAGATAGCTAGTGCTTCCCACCTGTCAGATATGTAGATAGCTAGTGCTCCCCACCTGTCAGACAGGTAGATAGCTAGGGCTTCCCACCTGTCAGACACGTAGGTAGCTAGTGCTCCCCATCTGTCAGACAGGTAGATAGCTAGGGCCTGCCACCTGTCAGACAGGTATATAGCTAGTGGTCACCACCTGTCAGACAGGTGTATAGCTAGTGCTCACCACCTGTCAGACAGGTAGATAGCTAGTGCTCACCACTTTTCAGACAGGTAGAAAGCTAGTGGACCCCACCTGTCAGACATGTAGATAGCGAGTGCACCCCACCACCATCTGTCAGACATGTAGGTAGCGAGTGCGCCCCAACACCACCTGTCAGACATGTAGATAGCCAGTGAGTCCCACCACCACCTGTCAGACAAGTAGATAGCCAGAGCGCCAACCACCATCTGTCAGACATGTAGATAGCCAGTGAGCTCCAACACCACCTGTCAGACATGTAGGTAGCGAGTGCGCCCAACACCACCTGTCAGACAGACATTATTTACTACATCGTATATAGTATAGCGTTTAAAATGTAATTTGACGCAAATTTTAACGTGTGCACTGAAGAGTGATTCCACCAAATTTCCGTCACTCAATTTTCATTCAACGAAATTTCTTTCAAACAAATATCCACGAACTGGAAAAAATAGATTGTTATTTAAAAAAAAAAAGCCAAAAAATAAAACACAATAACAATAAAAGCTAGAAATTTTGTATAACCCCTACCTTTCCACTCTGCCCCCACCCCCTAGGGTGTTCCATTAACGAGTATGGCCTGGAGTGTGAAGGAGTGTGTTCCATGAAGTGCTATGGCTTCGACTGCATCGACCGAGTCACAGGGAAATGTCCAACAGGTTGGTGGAAAACCTTCAACCCAGTGACACACACGAAGGAACAACTTATGTTTCAAATTAGAATATTTATCAATGATAAAAAAAATTCATCCAGCAGACGTAAGTAGGAGCATGGCCGTGACGTAACTAGGGTTAGTGCCAAGGTGCGCCTAACCTTTACCGCCCTATTCCTACGAGAAGAACGTCACCACCGGAACTAGGTTACCTTTCCTACGCCACCGGAACTAGGTTACCTTTCCTACGCCACCGGAACTAGGTTATCTTTGCTACGCCACTGAAACTAGGTTACCTTTGCTAAGCCAGCAGAACTATGTTATCTTTGCTACGCCACCGGAACTAGGTTATCTTGTTACGCCAACGGAACTAGGTTATCTTTGCTACGCCACTGAAACTAGGTTACCTTTCGTAAGCCACCGGAACTAGGTTATCTTTGCACGCCACCGCAACTAGGTTATATTTGCTACGCCACCGCAACTAGGTTACCTTTCCTACGCCACCGGAACTAAGTTATCTTTGCTACGCCACCGGAACTAGGTTATCCTTTTTACGCCAACAAAACTAGGTTATCTTTGCTACGCCACCGCAACTAGATTATCTTTGCTACACCAACGGAACTAGGTTTTCTTTGCTACGCCACCGGAACAAGGTTATCTTTGCTACGCCAACGGAACTAGATTATCTGTTTTATAAGATTTTGATAGTTGATTTCGAAGAAAATGTTTCAAGTTAAAGATGCCTCGTTAAAAGTTCTTGGATAACTACCTTGGATAATTACCTTGGACAACTACCTTGGATAACTACCTTGGACAACTACCTTGGATAACTACCTTGGATAACTACCTTGCACAACTTCCTTGGATAACTACCTTGGACAACTACCTTGGACAACTACCTTGGATAACTACCTTGGATAACTACTTTGGATAACTACCTTGGATAACTACCTTGGAGAACTACCTTGGAGAACTACCTTGGATAACTACCTTGGATAACTACCTTGGACAATTACCTTGGATAACTACCTTGGACAACTACCTTGGATAACTACCTTGGATAACTACCTTGGATAACTACCTTGGACAACTACCTTGGATAACTACCTTGGATAACTACCTTGGACAACTACCTTGGATAACTACCTTGGACAACTACCTTGGACAACTGCCTTGGACAACTACCTTGGACAACTACCTTGGACAACTACCTTGGAAACTACCTTGGACAACTACCTTGGACAACTACCTTTGACAACTACCTTATATAACTACCTTATATAACTACCTTGGACAACTGCCTTGGACAACTACCTTGGACAACTACCTTGGACAACTACCTTGGACAACTACCTTGGACAACTACCTTGGACAACTACCTTGGACAACTACCTTGGACAACTACCTTGGACAACTACCTTGGACAACTACCTTGGACTACTACCTTGGACAACTACCTTGGACAACTACCTTGGACAACTACCTTGGACAACTACCTTGGACAACTACCTTGGACAACTACCTTGGACAACTACCTTGGACAACTGCCTTGGACAACTACCTTGGACAACTACCTTGGACAACTACCTTGGACAACTACCTTGGATAACTGCGACCATAATTGTAAAGAGCTAACAATAAATGAAGGCCTTTCTCGGTAACATTTATGCACTGACATGTGAGTGAACGATGAGTTTCCATAGGAGCGTGTTTATCTTTCTAGGCTGAAATCATTTTTTTTCCATTAACGGAATTTCTCATGAAAAATTCAATAATGTCATTAATGTCACCGATACTAGAGCCTCATAAACCATTTTTACTCTTACTTTATCTTTTAGTCGCATAAAGATACATTTTTTTTTACCTTTCTCAAATCGGCACATAATCGAAACATGCCCAGTAAAGGGTTTGATACAATTATGGGCACTTAGTATATAACTAATACAGTCATTTCAGCAATAACACCTTGGTCCTTTCTTATAGGATGATTATTTTCAGTTATTAACGCCTCACCCCGACGGCCCCAACTCCCTTTCAATTATCTACTGATTAAGTGTTTCTCCATTCCAGAGGCTGTGATAGCGGTCTTCGTAGCAACTGTCGCCTTCATCGTCTTCATCATCCTCATCTGGTGAGTGGGTTGATTCCACTTTTGCTGTTGGCACGATGGAGGTTTGTTGGTTCAGTCTAAGCTGGCGGCAAAAGATTTAGACCTGTGCTGAGACCAGAGTTTCAACGTTTTATTTTAATGTTACCGGTGTCGGCTAGGGTTATGGCCGCCCGGGGGGGGGGGACAAGATTTAGACCTGTGCTGAGACCAGAGTTTCAACGTTTTATTTTAATGTTACCTGTATCGGCTAGGGTTATGGCCGCCCGGGGGAGGGGGGGGACAAGATTTCCGCCACCCCTTTCACGAAACAAACTGTGCGTTTGGCAACCCCCCCTCCCTCGTGTACAGCAAAAAGTGAAGCCCGGGGTAAGCAGCTCCCTACGCCATCCTTCCTGCGCATCTGGTTGTAACATCTTAAGACCGACGGGTTCTAAGGTGTAAAGACTTCTGGTTGTAGCAGCTTCCGACCTCATTTCTATTTCTGTACTTTAGTCGACTCTCTCATTATTTTGTTGTGTGTCACATTTCTGGTCAGTTACTAGTTGCTGTCATGTCACAATTGTAGTGAGTTACCAGTATGTGTCAGGTCACATTTTTTGTACAGTTGCCCGTTTGCGTCACGTCACATTTCTGGTGAATTACCCGTTTGTGTCACGTCACATTTTGGTCTGCTACCTATTTGTGTCATGGCACATTTCTGGTCAGTTACCTGTTTGTGTCGTGGCACATTTCTGATCAGTTACCCGTTTGTGTCACGAAACAATTCTGGTCAGTTACCCGTCTGTTTAACGTCAAATTTCTAGTCAGTTAACCGTTTCTGTCACGACACTTTTCTGGTCAGTTACCCGTTTGTGTCCCGTCACATTTCTGGACAGTTACCAGTTTGTTGCACGTCACATTTCTGGTCAGTTACCTGTTTGTGTCACGTCACATTTCAGGTCAGTTATCTCTTTGTGTCATGTCACATTTCTGAGCAGTTGCCCGCTTGTGTCATGGCACATTTCTGGTCATTTATCTGTTTGTGTCATGTCACATTTCTGGTCAATTATCTGTTTGTGTCACGTCACATTTCTGGTCAGTTACCCGCTTGTGTCATGGCACATTCCTGGTCAGTTATCTCTTTGTGTCATGGCACATTTCTGCTCAGTTATCTGTTTGTGTCACGACACATTTCTGGTCAGTTACCCGTTTGTGTCATGGCACATTTCTGGTCAGTTACCCGTTTGTGTCACGTCACATTTCTGGTCAGTTATCTGTATGTGTCACGTCTCATTTCTGGTCAGTTATCTGTTGTGTCATGACACATTTCTGGTCAGTTACCCGTTTGTGTCACGTCACTTTTCTGGTCAGTTACCTCTTCTTCTTCTTCTATATCTTAAGGGCCCACGATCAATTTATTGATCATTTTGGCTCCTATGCATGTAGATGGGATTTGCAATGTTTCTGTTACTGTTTTGTGTCATGGCAGATTTCTGGTGAGTTACCGGTATATAACACTTCACAATTCTGGTAAGTTACCAACATGTGTTACGACACATTTGTGGAGAGTTACTATAATTTATCACGACACATTTCTTTTGAGTTACCGATTTGTGTCGCCCAGTCTACTGATAGTCTTAGATCAGCGATTCTCAACCTTAGGTCCCGAACCCTTTGGCCTCGAACGAACCTTTCCTACGGGGTCGCCTAAGACCATCGGAACACAGACCTACTTTACAGTCATGAAGTAGCAACGAAAATAATTTTGTGATTAGGGGTCGCCACAAGGTGAGGAACTGTATTAAAGGATCGCGGCATCAGAAAGGTTGAGAACCACTGGTCCAGATGCTGTAAATAATTTACTGTAACTTTTGTTAACTATTAAAAGAACAGAAGAGTTTGATATGTGCTGAAGGCCTTATTCTCTCCCCTTTGTTTATCTCCCTTGCTCAGTTGCTACCAAAAATTGAAGCTACCGAGCAGCCGACGAGCAGCAGACGTGTCACCAGGTGCTGACGTGCCCCATGAAACGGGACAGAGTGGACTTGATGGTGGACAGAGTGGCCGTGAAGGTGGACAGAGTGGTCATGATGGTGGACAGAGTGGTCGTGATGGTGGACAGGGTGGTCGCGATAGTAAACAGAGTGGTCGCGATGGCGGACTGAGTGGTCATGACCTTGTGCAGACTGACTTGGTTCATGGCAGTAACTCCGACCAAAATCGAGCAACAAGCGAGGCGACTACTACTCTATATTAAAAAATCTGGAGAGAGTTTTCTGGACAGAGTGGATCGACTCACTATAGATAATCATTTAGAGCTAATGAGTTGAACGAATCGAATCAACCCTTCCATTCATAGCACAGAGACGAAGACGATTAGCTTTTATTAATTTTTCGAATATCAAGGCTTGATTTTTTTTTTAGTTATAGAGTTATTTCAACGGGATAACCGAGATGACTGATTAAAATTATTTCTCGGAAAATAAAAGATACGAAACATAGACAAGCCAAATAACAAGGCTTGATTTTTTTTTAGTTATAGAGTTATTTCAACGGGATAACCGAGATGACTGATTAAAATTATTTTTCGGAAAATAAAAGATACGAAACATAGACAAGCCAAATAACTTGGTTTGCACAGTTTTTTTTTTTTTTTTTTAATATTTAATAAAATGTGTTTAAAATGTTTATTTGCTGTAAACGTTCACTAATAAATTAAATAAACAACAATTACACAATTATTAAAGCAATTTTTTTATTTTTTTTATTTATTTAAAAAAAAAAAAAAAAAAAAAAAACAAAGAAAAACAAAAAAATTTGTTTTCAAAGTTTTTTTTTTTTTTTTTTTAATATTTAATAAAATGTGTTTAAAATGTTTATGTGCTGTAGACGTTCACTAATAAATTAAATAAACAACAATTACACAATTATTAAGGCAATTTTTTTATTTTTTTTATTTATTTAAAAAAAAAACAAAAAACCTACAATAAATCTAATCATCCAGTTATTTCCCTTCTCAAAAGAAAAATCTCGTGTCATCAAGTATGTGTTTAATTCTATGTTCAGGTTTCACTGTTATCTAACACATAAAAATGTGTAGGCACATTAAACATGTGTGGCATTCAACATTTCGGATGGCTATAACTTTGGATACAAAATAAACCTACTTTGATCGGCATCACGTGAACAAAACATTTGAGCGCCACTAACATAGATCAAACATTTGAGAGCCACTGACATAGATAAAACATTTGAGCACCACTGACATAGATCAAACATTTGAGCACCACTGACATAGATAAGAGCACCACTGAAATAGATCAAACATTTGAGCACCACTGACATAGATCAAACATTTGAGCACCACTGACATAAATCAAACATTTGAGCGCCACAGAAATAGATCAAACATTTGAGCGCCACTGAAATAGATCAAACATTTGAGCACCACTGAAATAGATCAAACATTTGAGCACCACAGAAATAGATCAAACATTTGAGCACCACTGAAATAGATCAAACATTTGAGCACCACTGACATAGATCAAACATTTGAGCACCACTGACATAGATCAAACATTTGAGCACCACTGACATAGATCAAACAAAACAAGCTATGACGTAATGTCACGGTCATTTATTTATTTCAAAATGACCTCACGTGGTTCAATGTATTTTTACACAACGAGATGTATATGAAGTGTATATGTTGTTATATATGAGATGTATATGTTGTTATGTATGAAGTGCACATGTTTTTATATATGAGGTGTATATGATATGTATATGAGGTGTATATGAGGTGTATATGAGTTGTCTATGAAGTGTCTATGAGGTGTATATGAGGTGTATATGAGGTGTCTATGAGGTGTCTATGAGGTGTCTATGAGGTGTCTATGAGGTGTCTATGAGGTGTCTATGAGGTGTATATGAGGTGTATATGAGGTGTATATGAGGTGTATATGAGGTGTATATCTCGTGACCTTTTGGGGTGATGTCGTTTACCATTGCACCATCTTTTCCAGCTAGCTATATCTCCTGGATGTATGGTGGCCTGTGTTGTTTATGGTTGCAAGGGATGAAAGACTTAAAATAGTTATTCTCGTATGTAGCTTTTGTAATGTTGCGTTTTGTATTTCAATTTCAATGTGGTAAAATTTAGATTTTTTAAATTTAATATGGATGACTTTGTACAGCGCTTCGAGCCTTTCGGGATGAAGCGTGATTTTCAAATAAGCTTTATTATTTAATATGGTTCTTTCTAATCGTCAGAATCCTTTATGTTTCTAGTCAATTTATGCTGCTTTATAACGGCCACAATAATTGTTTTCTTTTATTTACGACAAGTTTTTAGATTGTAATTCTAGGGTTTGCTAGGAGCTAAAGGTCTAATATTTTCTTACACAGGCTGAAATGGCTCTTTTTATCAATAATGGCAATTCTCAAGTTATAAATCGTATAAATATAAAGATGTGTCGTAGTATTTCAAATCACTAGTGCCAAAGTTTTTGTTGAACAACCGTACAGCCATGTTTAGAAAATGACTTCCGCGATTTTAATCTTAAGTTATACACAAATTTGATACTTGAAATTTTAAAGAAAAAAAAGATGTATTAATAAAATATATATTATAAAACTTAAAGTTATTAATGTTATCTGGATAATTTTAAATTATACACAAATTTGATAATTTAAATTTAAAAGCAAAAAAGTAAAGATTAATAAAATATATATTATAAAACTTAAATTTATTAATTTTATCTGGATAATCTTAAGTTATACACTAGTTTGATACATTAAATTTAAAAGGAAAAAAAAAAGATATATTAATAAAATATGTATTTATAAAACTTAAAGTTATTAATGTTATCTGGATAATCTCCCCTTCTCAGATACTGGTCAAAGTATGTGCATGGCTATAATCCCCTCAGTCTCGAACTAAATGTTTTTAAATATAAAAGAATAATAAAGATGTGAATCTCGATTCATGCAGTTCGTTAGTTTGGAAAATATATTGGAACGAGAGTTCTTTTAACGAATCATCCCAATAGAAAACACGTGATCCCAATGTCTAAATATAGAACACGTGATCCCAATATCTAAATATAGAACACGTGATCCCAATGTCTAAATATAGAACACGTGATCGCAATGTCTAAATATAGAACACGTGATCGCAATGTCTAAATATAGAACACGTGATCCCATGTCTAAATATAGAGCACGTGATCGCAATGTCTAAATATAGAGCACGTGATCGCAATGTCTAAATATAGAACACGTGATCGCAATGTCTAAATATAGAACACGTGATCGCAATGTCTAAATATATTTTAAAAAAGTGATCCCCAATGTCTAATTATAAAACACATTATACGAATGTCTAAATTGGCAATAAATAAAGCCTGGGCCTATTTTCGGTCCTCAGAAAAAAAAATTCGGAGACTTTTTAAATTTTTAAAATCAAAATAATAATCTCAAGGCTTTCGTCAAGACGGATGGGGTTATTATAAACATAATTCATTATTAATTTAAAAAAATATATAAAAGTAACAGTCACAATCAATAATCACTTTCCCGTTGGGACACCAGATGGTAGATCTCATCCTGCCACATTGTGGCGCTGTAGGACTCTACCGCTAGCTGACAGTACGAGCACGCGTACGCCATATGACTAACACAGGTCAATAGATCAAGCTCTTCGTATTCCGAATCTCTGACGTAATTGTAGAATCGACGATGCTTGGCGGCCAGCGTCAATTCATCTTTCTTAGGAAACATCCAATCTCGAACCCAACTTTTCTCCTGTACAAACAGCAAGTATCCGTTTTTATAGTCTAGAAATTTGTCGCGAGAGTTCCCCCAACTCAAAACCATTCCATGCTCGTATGCCGTCATCACATGATGTTGACCTTCGTCGCTCAGCCTTTCTTTAATGCTGGTGCCAATTTTTAACGTGTAGTCCAAGAATTCTTCAGCAGATTTGACAAAATGTGCAGTTGTAGACTCGGATGCAGTCGTCTGCGGCGATTGTCTTAGAACGGTTCTGTAGTGGACCAAAGCCATGAGCACTTCAAGTCTGAAGTCGTGGTGCCTTGTTATTTGCTTCAAGGTTTCTTCAGCCTCCAGAGTTTGTTCAAACGCCAACAAGAAGTTTTTTCTAGAAAGAAAGGAATAACTTGTATACGATTTGATAAAGAGACAATCATAAGAGCACCGATGACTTCTGATAGCACCAATGGTTTATGGTAGCCCCAAAGACTTAATGACGTACAAATGAATCATGACAGCACGAATGACATATGGTAGCACCAATGACTTATGGCCACCTCAATTAATTATGGTAGCCCCAAAGACTTAATGAAGTATCAATGACTTATGGCAGCATCAATCACTTATGGTAGCCCCAATGACTTAAAGAAATACCAGTGACTTAATGAAGTACCAATGACTTATGACAGCACGAATGACATATGGTAGCACCAATGACTTATGGCAGCACCAATTACTTATGGTAGCCCCAATGACTTAATGAAGTACAAATGACTTAATGAAGTACAAATGACTTAATGAAGTACCAATTACTTATGGTAGCACCAATGAATTAATGAAGTACCAATGATTTAATGAAGTAACAATGACTTCTGGTTGCACCAATTGCTTATGACAGCACCAATGACTTCTGGTAGCACCAAGGACTTATAGTAGCACCAAGGACTTATGGTGAAACAAATGAAAATGGTAAATATGAATACTAACTGCTTAAAATTGACTTGGCCTAGGTGCGCCAATGTGAGTGCCAGGTTATAGAGAAATCCGCTATTTTCCTTTTGTATTTGAAGGGCTTTCTCGAGGTACACCTTGCCGCATTCTGGTTAAAGAGAGAAAAACAAGACCCCTGATTAAGTGGTGCATCAATTTGACCCTATCAGTTTAGAGGATGGCATTTACCATCTATTTGACCCGATCAGTTTAGTGGATGGCATCGTACAATCTATTTGACCCGATCATTTTATTGGATGACATGGTACAATCTATTTGACCCGATCAGTTTATTGGATGGCATCGTACAATCTATTTGACCCGATCATTTTATTGGATGGCATCGTACAATCTATTTGACCCGATCAGTTTCATGGATGGCATCTTACAATCTATTTGACCCG